GAGGTTCTCGTTAATCATTTACTGTCTGAGTAAATAAGCATCTTTGCCAAAAGGCCAGTTTGGGGCTTTCCTGGGACCCTGTCCAGACAGGGGATGAACCACAGAGCGATCTGGGCTCTAGGAGACAGAAGGTTTGGTTCTAGCTTCAGACTCTACCTCCTGCAAGAGGCAGGTCATTGGTTTTGAGTTCCCCATCTCTAAAAGGCAGAGATAGCTGTTCTCCCACTCTCCAAGGTTTTGTGTAGGAGGCAATGGGAAAGAAGCGCCGGGAAAGGCACTCTTCAAGGGTGAGAATCCCCACCATGCTTAAGAGGGGAGAACTGCAATTGAGAAGGCAGAATGCAGGACCACGGTGGGGAAAAAGGACCACAGCTCATTCTTAGGAAGCCAGGCAGGGCAGCAGAGTGGATGTGAAGGTATAATTAATAACTGCAAAGTCATGAAGGAAAATGTCACCAGCCCATGCTCTTTGGAGATCAGGGTACAAACTATGGAGTTAGCAGACAGCATGAACATGTAGTGGCCTCTTATAAGGCAATAGGGAATGATGGGAAATTAATAATCTGCAGCCAACTAGAGATTATGCTTATGCTCTGCCTAATGCATTTGCATCAAAAGATTTAAAACACATGTACTACCAAATACAACATCTATGGCCTTGCAGCCTGAGAGTTTGAGGTCCCTCAGACTGATGTAATAAAGTTTTTTTTATTCTGATACCTTCTTATTCTGATGCCTTGACATCTCAGGCCTTGCTGACACTGGAGGGACTGCCCCTCCCAGGATGCACCAGTTTCTACAGACAGCAAACAACAGGGCTAACTAACCAGCCCAGAGCTCATTTTCCCCAACCACCTCCGTTCTCAGGCTCTCACATTCTGGGCAACCTGCCCTCACTGCCAGGACCAGGTACCAAGCAAGGGCCAGCCCTGTGTCCCAGAGTCCATGGAGATTATTCAAACTAACCCATCCTAAACCTGTTTACCCTGCGTTGCCTTTCCCAAGAAAACCACAATAAATGCTCTTTCCCGTGTTTTCCTCTCACTCCCTCTGCCTCCTATCCAGCCCTGGTGCTTCCTGGTTTCCCATGTGGCGATGCGTGGTGTGGCACGGCGTGCCGCCTCCCCTTAGGAATTGTAACAAACTCTCTTCTCAGGGGCTGTCATCTCCTGATCTGTTGGCCCTACCTGAATAAACATAAGGCCTACATTTTGAAACACCTGTAAAATCCACTACAGCATGAGTTGCATGGCTGCTTTTATCCCACTGAATTTTGGCACCTAAGATACTCCTGGCATGTGGCAGACACAACCTAACTACACATCACTAAATGGATGGATGGACAGACAGACATAAGGTGAAAGTGAAAAGCGGGTAGAAGCATCTGTTTGGCAACATGAATTCCCTCCACTTCTGTCTCACTTTTGCAGAGGATTCGGTTCGTGCCTCAATTCTGCTAACGGTGTAGCTGGAGGCAGCCAGGCGGGAGCAAGCCAGAGGATGCGGGGTGAGCGCACGCTGGGAGGAGCAGTCTGCGGCTCACTGCGGGCAGCTCACCATCCCTCTGACATCCAGCTTTCAGGCAGCTCCTAAGGGACATGCTTTTCTTTTGGTAGACAGCCTTCTGGCTAACTCTGGCTGTTTCCTTTATTCAAGTCCTTGTAAAGAGATTGCCACCTCAAAGGGTCTCTGAACCTAGTGATAAAAGGGTAAAAGCCAGAAAGGGGGTTCTCAGCCCACCTGCAGTCTCTTGGACCTGCCTGGTGCAGGTTCTGCAAAGGGAGCACCAAGCAGGTTGCTCAGCTCAGTGGCACCCCAAAATTACCTTGTATCTGCAATGTGCAGTGGGGTGGGTCTGCATGCCTGTGCTTTTTTAGTTAGGAAACTGCACTTTTAGCTAGAGAGCCCATTTGGTTTTAATCCTTATGCTTTAAGGTGTATCAACCTACTACACTTGCAGATGGACTGAATTTCTCAGATGACATGGTCCTGGGGTGTTATTCTCAGCATCACTATCTCAACCCAGGCAAAGAGAAGGCCCATCTGGAACGTCCTGGGAAAGGTGGAGAAACCCCTGTTGGGGGATCAAGCATTTGCTCTTTCTGATGAACACTCAGTTGGGTAACTTGGTTCTCAGCAGTGAATGGCTCCCCAAAGGCTGTCCCTTCCCCAGGGTCAAGATGGAAGGACAGAAAGGGTTCAACCACAGTGAGTGGATGATGGCCTGGGGGACTGCCTGAGAGGTCAGGCTATGGGAGGGTTGGCAGTGGGGGGATAATGTGAACTGGTTCCCCCGCAACAGAACCAGCTAATGTCCATTATCCCCGAGTAATTATTAAACTCACTTCCCTTCTCTCTCAAAAGAATCCTGGTTTGACTGATAAATTATACAGTCGCCCTCAACATCAGGGAATTATGCAAATGGGAAAGTCTTAGTTAGAAGGCTTATAAGAGTTTGGTTGCTTCATTTGTACAAGCAGGAGTTTAAGGTTTGGCAAGCATGCTGGAGAAGGTCTGGCAGCTGCAGGTGGTGGGAACACTGAGCAGGGAAGCACTATGCCTGACCTTGGCCTCTGCTGGGCTCTCCTCGAAAAAGTGGGTGGGTACCTGGGACAGCTGGGGCTCAGCAGGATTTCATGCACAGCCTCTCCACCCAAGAGACTTCCAAAGGCAGCATTTCTTTCCCCTTAGTGAAGTCTCAAGCTTGGAATTAGGAAGTCCAGCACACGATAGGCACAAAGAAGAAGGGGTTCTAACGTGTCCCCAGATGGGCTACGGGAGAGGGAAACATCCCACCAGCTCCAGCATCAGCATGGGCCACAGGCCACAGTACCATTCAACACCGCCTCATGTTGTCACAGAGACCCTGAACAGTTTTCTATTTGCCTTTCTTCCTGGTTGAGATCTTGTTCCTGTCAAGAGTAACTATCTGTGTTGCATGAAATATCAGGGATTGTAAGCAGAACTGGGACAAAGCCACCCACAAGAAATAAGAACTTTCTGATGATGCTCACAAGCAGCTCCCCAAATCTTAGAGGCCGTCAGTGAAGAATTTTCTGTTCTAAGCACTGAATTCACCCTCAAAGTGTTTAACCCAAAAGGCATCTGACAGGCAACACCCCCAGCGGCCTGAATTTGTCAGATCAACTCATTCTTGGGCTGATTCGCCAGGTCAGTCTGTGGACAGGCAGGACCCCTCCCACAAAGGCAGAACAAAGACTTAAAAGGGAAAAAGTGGCTGTAAGTTTTACCTGGTGGCCTCACATGATGTTTAATCAAGCTATAACAGGCTCAAAGTGTCCAGTGTTAAAGGACTCTCCACCTCTGCGTGCATGTGTGTGAAAACTAAAACTCAAAGCTATTTGGGTTTTTTTTATGTAAGATTAGCCATCATGCAGAACTTACTGGTCAGGCAGTTAATAAAATACACATATCCCGTGGAAGAGCTTCATACATTTCAGTCCTTACAGATAGCAAAGCGATTATATAAACCCTGCATGGTCCTGAGAGGGAGTTCCCTCACTTCTGAAAGCTGCCAGTCCTGCCAGCTCGCGGGGGCTCATGTGTTATAAATTCTCGAAGCTCTTTTAGCTGCGGTTTGAGCATCGGATGGATCTTCTTCCTCTTCCTCAGTTCGCTTGTGTTTTAAAAACAAGTCAGACTTCAAGAAGCGGCTGTAGCTGTCATACTTCATGAGGTTGAAGATCTAAAGAGGAAAGGAAAGACAGTCTAAAGGAGGAGGCTATTCAGGCCATAAATCATCCTACCAAATATTTATTAAATACCTATCTGTGCCAAAGAATGGAAATATGTGCAGAACAAACAAAGAAAGCTAAAGTGAGTTGTGTGCTAGACAAGGCGGATTTCCTGGATGTTTCTGGTCATTATGAAATAATCTCCATGGAATAGAATAGCTTAGAAGGCCACATGAACAAATCTGTCTTTATTTTCCACGGAAGTATAGGTTCACACAGCACTGATTCATACCCTTTATCAAGAGATCCTTTAAGAATGTCCACTTTATTTGGACAGATAATGCAGGGACGTATTTCTCCAGAAACTTGAGATAATGGAATAGAAACTGGTCCTGTAGAAATGGGGCTGTTGTAAAGGCCACTGCTATATCAGATGATGCCAATATTATTAAAACCCCCAGAGGTGTGGCACCCAAGATCTCAAACAAACCTATTATTATACCAAGCAACAAAATGGGGCTTACTGAATGAAGGGCAAATGAATGAAACTACAGTGGTAGCAAGGAGAGGGAAGGATTTCATGCACAGCCTCTCCACCCAAGAGACTTCCAAAGGCAGCATTTCTTTCCCCTTAGTGAAGTCTCAAGCTTGGAATTAGGAAGTCCAGCACACGATAGGCACAAAGAAGAAGGGGTTCTAACGTGTCCCCAGATGGGCTACGGGAGAGGGAAACATCCCACCAGCTCCAGCATCAGCATGGGCCACAGGCCACAGTACCATTCAACACCGCCTCATGTTGTCACAGAGACCCTGAACAGTTTTCTATTTGCCTTTCTTCCTGGTTGAGATCTTGTTCCTGTCAAGAGTAACTATCTGTGTTGCATGAAATATCAGGGATTGTAAGCAGAACTGGGACAAAGCCACCCACAAGAAATAAGAACTTTCTGATGATGCTCACAAGCAGCTCCCCAAATCTTAGAGGCCGTCAGTGAAGAATTTTCTGTTCTAAGCACTGAATTCACCCTCAAAGTGTTTAACCCAAAAGGCATCTGACAGGCAACACCCCCAGCGGCCTGAATTTGTCAGATCAACTCATTCTTGGGCTGATTCGCCAGGTCAGTCTGTGGACAGGCAGGACCCCTCCCACAAAGGCAGAACAAAGACTTAAAAGGGAAAAAGTGGCTGTAAGTTTTACCTGGTGGCCTCACATGATGTTTAATCAAGCTATAACAGGCTCAAAGTGTCCAGTGTTAAAGGACTCTCCACCTCTGCGTGCATGTGTGTGAAAACTAAAACTCAAAGCTATTTGGGTTTTTTTTATGTAAGATTAGCCATCATGCAGAACTTACTGGTCAGGCAGTTAATAAAATACACATATCCCGTGGAAGAGCTTCATACATTTCAGTCCTTACAGATAGCAAAGCGATTATATAAACCCTGCATGGTCCTGAGAGGGAGTTCCCTCACTTCTGAAAGCTGCCAGTCCTGCCAGCTCGCGGGGGCTCATGTGTTATAAATTCTCGAAGCTCTTTTAGCTGCGGTTTGAGCATCGGATGGATCTTCTTCCTCTTCCTCAGTTCGCTTGTGTTTTAAAAACAAGTCAGACTTCAAGAAGCGGCTGTAGCTGTCATACTTCATGAGGTTGAAGATCTAAAGAGGAAAGGAAAGACAGTCTAAAGGAGGAGGCTATTCAGGCCATAAATCATCCTACCAAATATTTATTAAATACCTATCTGTGCCAAAGAATGGAAATATGTGCAGAACAAACAAAGAAAGCTAAAGTGAGTTGTGTGCTAGACAAGGCGGATTTCCTGGATGTTTCTGGTCATTATGAAATAATCTCCATGGAATAGAATAGCTTAGAAGGCCACATGAACAAATCTGTCTTTATTTTCCACGGAAGTATAGGTTCACACAGCACTGATTCATACCCTTTATCAAGAGATCCTTTAAGAATGTCCACTTTATTTGGACAGATAATGCAGGGACGTATTTCTCCAGAAACTTGAGATAATGGAATAGAAACTGGTCCTGTAGAAATGGGGCTGTTGTAAAGGCCACTGTTATATCAGATGATGCCAATATTATTAAAACCCCCAGAGGTGTGGCACCCAAGATCTCAAACAAACCTATTATTATACCAAGCAACAAAATGGGGCTTACTGAATGAAGGGCAAATGAATGAAACTACAGTGGTAGCAAGGAGAGGGAGGCTTCAGGAACAGGCGCTAATTGAAGACGGCAGCAATCAGCTGTAGCACGCAACCCACCGCACGCACACAGCGGCTCAGGAACATGTCTGTGGGAGAGAAATGGCCCTGCGGCCAGCTGGTCAGATGCAAGAGCAGGACCCCAGAGGAAACCTAACTCCTCCCTTCTCTTCTTAGCCATGGTCCCTATTCCCAGCATCCCCTACCCGATCCTTTGCCACCCTCCTCCCTTGCCTTACAGAATTCGGGGAAGGAGAAGCAAAAAGGAAGACATTTCCCTGCTGGTTATTGAGTGGCACAGTCTCTTTTGAGAAATCTCTCTCTTCAGACCTTTTGACTCAAGCCTCTTGACGGAACTTCAAAATATTCTGTGAAATGAAAATCCACGCCATGCACCTGGTGCCTTCACTCACGGCTTGAAGTAAGTGGGCTCAAAAAGTGGAAAGTTCCGGAGGTGTCTAGAACATCGCTCCCTGCCAGGCAGGTTATCAAGTGAGTGGTAAAACCCTGACAGCCTTTAAATCCACCCTCTCTCAACATGCACACAACTATTTTGTAAGTTAAACGTCTGATGGACTCTCAGGACTCAGAACATCTTTCCGGAGATGGGAGAACTGAACATTCGGCCTGTACACCTTCATTTTCCCAAGATGGCTTCAAGCACTGGAAAGCCACTTAAATCACTTGGCTATCAACAGGGTCAGGAACCCAGGGAAAGACTAAGGACTTTGGGTTTTCTTTAAATTCTCAAACTACTGCCTGCCCTTTCCTGGATGCCCTTCCAGTCTCAGCCAAGATCTCCATCTGTTCAGAAAGACCATACTTCCGTAAGCCCCTACCTTGAGCCTCTGCATAGCAGTTATCTATTTTATAGTAATCTTGTCGTCCTAGACTGATTTGCTGAGGTTTAGAGATGTTATTCATTTAAAAAAAACTCATAAAACTCCCAAAAAATATAGAAATCATAGCTGGGGGCAAGGCAGAGGCTGAGGAATGCCATTATCATTTCATGGCCTCCCATAAACGTGCTATGCACACATTGCCCCCCCTTACCCTCTGCATTACCAAGCCCTTCCAGGCACAGAGCCCCCACAGGGAACTTTGAGGTGCACACCTAATTTAGAGTCTGGAAAGGAGGCTCGAAGAGTGACTAACGGAACCAGCTTCGTGAGTGCTTGTGGAACCCAGCCTTGAGCCCCCTCCCCAGCAGGTCCACAGCAGATGGGACCCACCACTGCCGGCAGGATGCGGTTCGGCCGTGTCTGTCTGAAGCGTCTGCATGTGGGGGCAGAACATCCTGTTTGCCTGTCGTGGCTCTGAGGCTCACACTTCAAAGAAAAGAAGAAAAAAGGCTGGGGCTGGAGGCACCCAGGGCCCAGCAGGGAAGGGAGCCCGGAGTTGCTTCAGCTAAGGGAGTGCTCAGGAACCATTCAGCGCTGGCGGGACTCAGCCCCCAGGGGAGCCCCAGAGACCCAGCTCTTCTGCCCCTTAGGCCTCCACTGGTGCCAGCAGCTCGAAGGGAGGGACCTGTAACCATTTACCAAGAGCATCAGGGCCGCACCCTGCCACAGGCAGGTGTGAAATCCCAGGGAAGTCCTCCGGTTGGGGCCGGCTTCTCCAGGAGCCCACGCCCGCCTCCTCACACTGCGGAGTCACCCGGTGTCAGCTGTCACCGTCAGACCCAGATAGATTTGAAAAAGAAAAGGCATGTTGCTCCCAGGGGCCTCGTTTTCTGGGGCTGTGCGCGGCCTGATATTCTGCACGGGGCCCTTGCTGCCAGCGGCAGACAGTCTCCTGGGTGCTGGTCCTCTCTTCACAGGTGCCCTCATAGGTGCTGCTCAGCAAAGTTGGCTTAGAGCATAGAGAATGCCCTAAGAACCTCTTCCAAGTAAGTGGCCAAAGATTGGGTAGCCAGCTACAGCTTTATTCACCACAGGGCAAATGGCCGTGCCTGAGGCCAGCACACGTTCACCCAGTGAAGGAACAGAAACCACCCAACGTGCACCAAGAGTGGGCTGGCGAAATCAACCAGGTTGTGCCAACACTGCCAAGAGCACCTTCTAAGCATGCACCAAGCATTGTCCCATTTAATCTCCATGAAAACCCTCCAAGGACCCCGATTATACAGAGGAAGGCACTGGGGCCTTAGATCATTGCTCTGCCCCCACGATGGGTGTATTAATCAGCCTGGGCTGCCGTAACAGGGATCGTGGACCGGGGGGCTTACACAACAGAACTTTCTTCCCTCACAGTTTTGGAAGCTCAAAGTCCAAAATCAAGGCGTCAGCAGGACTGGTTTCTTCCAAGGCCTCTCTCCATGGCTTGTACAGATGGTTCCCAATTTATGATGGTTCGACTTAAGATTTTTCAACTTTATGATGGTGGGAAAGTGATAGGAATTCAGTAGTAGAAACCATACTTCAAATTTTGAATTCGGATCTTTTCCCAGGGTAATGTTATACAGTATGAATCTCTTTCATGATGCTGCAGAGCCGGGAGCCCCAGCTCCCAGTCAGCCACGCAATCCTGATGACAAACGACCGATACACTGACCACCATTGTCTGTAAGCATATGACCATCTGTTTTTCACTTTCAACACAGTATTCAATAAATTACATGAGCTCTTCAACACTGTATTATAAAATAGGCTTTGTGTTAGGTGCTCTGCCCAACTGTAGATCAATATAAGTGTTCTGAGCATGTTTAAGGTGGGCTAGGCCAAGCTTATGCTGTTCAACAGGTTGGGGGTGTATTAAATGCATTTTTAACTTAATGGCATTTTTGGCTTATTATCAGGACGTAACCCTACTGTAAGTTGAAGATCGGTAGATGGCTGTCCATGGCCGGTGTCTTCACATGGTCACCCCTCAGTGCATATTGGATTAGAATGCACTGTAGGACCTCATTTAACGTTAATTACCTCTTTAAAGGCCCTATCTCCAAACATGGTCTCATTCTGAGGTGCTCAGGCTTAGAACCCCAACATATGAATGGGAGAGGGGACAAACTCAGCCCGTAATGATGCGCAAAAGACGCAAACGCTGGCAGCCTGGCTCTCGAGTTCACATTCCTAACCTCTAGTCTATGCTGCTGCCATCCAAAGAGGAGTTAAACATGGAAAACTGTAATGTGAATATCAAATGAATGAATATTACAATTTGAAAATGCACTAAAACTAAAAACAGTTATCCCAAAAGAGTATGTTTGTATGTATACATGGGAAATAAATATCCCCAAAGGTCAATGTGGTGGGTTGAATGGTGTACCCCCAAAATTTATGTCCACCTGGAACCTCAGAGTCAGGGTTAGTTTGCTGAAGATCTCTAGAATGACATCATCCTGGATTTGGGCCAGGCCCTAAATCCAAGGAGTTGTGTCCTTATAAAAAAAGGAGGGAGCACACGGAGAGAAGCCCATGCGAAGTCAGAGGCAAGGACCAGAGTGAGAGCTCTGAACATCAAGGAAGCCAGCAGCCGCCAGGAACTAGGAGAGGCAGGGAGGGACCTGCACCTAGAAGGAACACAACCCTGCCCACACCGTGATGTCGGACTTCTGGCTCCTGAACTGTGAGAGGATAAACTTCTGTTGGTTTAGGTCACAGGTCGTGGTAATTTTTTATGACAGCCTTTGGAAACTATAACAGTCAGCTTATTGATTTCCCCTCACTCCTCCTTGAGCACAGAAAATGAGATGGCCCTAGGGATTCCAGAAGGTTCTACAAAGCTGGGACTCTCTGTTACTGAGAACTGGCTTCTCCGGGGCTGGACCATCATCTGACCTCAAGTTGTGTGCAGGGAAGAGAAAGAATGGGGAGACAAATGTGGGCTGAAGGGTTGGGAGGACTCCAGGTGGGCAGAAGGCACTGGAGCTGAGACAGTCCTTCCAACAGTCAGGCAGCTGAGAAAGCAGAAACTCTAGTTGGCAGCCAAGTTGCATTTAGTGCCTTTCTTTTCCCCAAGACAGCTGTGGCTCAGCAGGGTTTGGGTTTTGGCAGCCCCACGTCCGTGAGCTGCATGTCCGGACTGCTAACTATTTAGCATAGTTGCTTTGCGATCCACCTCTGTAGGCTGCTGGAGATGGGACTCTCGGTGGACAAGGAGAAGGGAGCCTTTCTGATGATGCGCAACCATGCACAAGGTCCCACACCCCAAGGTCACTGCACACCAAGGTGCTCCTCCTTCTCCAGATCCCAGACAGTGAGGCGACTGATTAGGATTTGCAAGGGAAAATTCCCATGTGGTGCTCCAACTGGAGGTCCTTCCACATCGGCTGCTCAGGGAAAGGACTCCCTCCCAGAAGCACTGGCATCCATGTAGAGAATGAGAGGCTTCCCCAGCCCCCAAGGCCCCCACTGAAGATTTCATCACCGTCAGTATTAAATGCACTTCAAGTATAATCGTCTATGACTTCTCAGAAGACAAAGACATGAAAAGATCTAA